CTTGCACAAAATAGGCCTTTTCTCCCTCTGTTTAGGGTTGGCTTGTCACCACTCCCAGGCATTACAGCAGAATGACTGAGGCTGACCACTGCCTTTCCCAGCTGCCTTCTAGGTCATAAACCCACACTTTTTTCTGTTAATAATTGTCCCCCTTCCTTTCTTTGATGTACTGTACTATGATTTGAGGGGCTGCATCAAATGTTACAGTGAGGTGTCTCCACGTCCCCTGTGTGCCTGAGGGGCTCCCTCGCAGCTGGTGGAAGGGCTGTGGGCTGCCCTCGCTCCTCCCTGGGACACTCCTACGGCCCTGGGGCTGGCTGGTTCCCACCTACTTGCTTTTTCATGGAGTCTCAAGACTCACTCAACCTGGAGTTACGGTTGGCGGAGACTGAACATGGTTTGTTCCTGCTGGAAGTGGGTTTTTTTATAAGGAGTGGCTGAGGGGGCTGGGGGGTGTTCAGGAGGCTCAGGGGAGACCTTGTCACTCCCTACGACTCCTTGAAAGGAGTGTGCAGAGGGGGGGGTCAGTCTCTTCTCCCAAGGGACAGGTGATGGGACAAGAGGAAACAGCCTCAAGTTGTGCCAGGGGAGGTTTAGATGGGATATCAGGGAAATTCCTTCCTGGAAAGGGCTGTCAGGCACTGGAAGGGGCTGCCCAGGGAGGGGGAGTCACCATCCCAGGAGGGATTTCAGAGCTGTGTGGCTGTGGGGCTCAGGGACATGGGTCAGTGGGGTGCTGGGCAGTGCTGGGTTAACGGGTGAACTGGATGGGCTTCAAGGTCTTTTCCAACCTGAACAGTTCCATGAAGTTCCGTTCAGGAATATGAGGTTATTTCATCTGCGCATCTCAAAGTCGCACACTGTGATACCCAAACCCTTCTGTTGCAGTCCTAAGCCAAAGCAATGAATGCTCTACATCTTCATGTAACTGCCCCTGGGGCTGCTGTTCCCGGGTGATGTGGAAGGCCGTGGTTGCTTCCATGCCTTCCTGCAAAATCTGCTGGCTCTGCCCTCGGACAGCGTGATCACGGCTCTGCCGTGAAGCCTTGTGATAAATGCACCTTCGGAGCTGCCTTTCCAGCTCAGCTGCTGGGGCAGGGCCTGCAAGAAGCCTCCTCTTTCACCTTCTTGTCTTCCTTCACTCTCTTTTGAGAACTGGAAAACGTGGAGCAGAGAGCAGGAGCAGCGTGATGTCCCCGTGCTCCACAACCACAGCAGAAACGTGGAATTGTGTCTGGAGCTGCTTGTCTCACTTCCCTACCCCTGTGAAGGCAGAGCACTGTGTCAGTGGGGCACGTTAACGCACCCCCCAATGCTTGTCTCACTTCCCTACCCCTGTTTAACTGTTGCCTTGTGAAGGCAGAGCACTGTGTCACTGGGGCACGTTAACGCACCCCCCAGCTCTAGGGGTGATGCTACCTCACCGACACACAACGTAGGCACGTGGTGGCCCTCGGCTCACGTCGTCACTCCGGATGGCAGGTCCCATCCGACGCGCAGGGCCAAGCTTCAAAAAATGAGCGGGATGCGCTGCGGGAGATGCCTCGTTCAGCAAAACCCTTTCTGTTCCTGGGAACCTTAGTGCAGGGTGGGGTAGTTTTACCTGATGTCTTTTATGTATTGCTAGGAAATCGGTCAGTTTTCTGAATGCGATTTAGTGAGCTAGAAAAAGCTATGAGTCCTAGTAAGCAATTACTTTAAATTAATTCTGCAGTTCTGGATAACATAACACATGTTTTGGAAAGATTGAGGAGACTTACCAGAAGTATTATCTTTTTAATTAAAAATAAAGGTATGGAGGCAAGATAAATGTAATCTTTCTGAGTAGTGCTTGTTTCTGTCTCTCGGCTAAGTAGGTTATGTTTACTGTTCCTTATTAGTTTTGAAGCTCCAGGTGACTGGATCCTGCTGTCTTTCATAATAGTCTTCCTTGGTTTGTTTTGCAGGGGATGATTAAATGAGACAGGGGCATACACTGAGCAAACAGTGACAATACGATTTCCTTACCTGTTACAAACTAGGTCAGGGGATGATACATAAAGTCCACGCAAAGGAAGTTTCTTTGTTAAAAAAAACTGTGCAAAAGTCTAGGAAATGATGAACCAATGCTGAAATACTGTACTGTGTGGGCATTACTTTTTAATGAAGCATTAATTTATTTTCTAGAAAAACATATGTTTTTCCAGCGTAAGGCTCCGGTGAGACCTTATTGCGGCCTTCCAGTACCTGGAGGGGGCTACAAGGAAGCTGGGGGGACTTTTTACAAGAGCCTGTAGTTACAGGACAAGGGGTAATGGGTTTAAACTGGAAGCGGGGAGGTTTAGATGAGATATCAGGAAGAAATTCTTCCCAGAGATGGTGGGGAGGCAGTGGGACAGGTTGCCCAGAGAAGCTGTGGATGCCCCATCCCTGGGCGTGTCCAAGGCCAGGCTGGATGAGGCTTGGAGCAACCTGGGCTATGGAAGGGGTCCCTGCCCATGGCAGGGGGTTGGAACTGGATGGGCTTTAAGATCTCTTCCAACCCAAACCATTCCATGATTCTATGATTTCAAGTGTCCTCATGTCCAGCCATTCCGGGTTGGCTGGGAGGGTAAAGTGCTATGTCAGTGGTTTCCCAGTAACGTTGGCACACACGTTTCTGTCTCTGTCCTTTTCAAGTGACTTGTCAAATACAGGCCAGATTTAAAATCAATGTAACAGTAACAACCTGTTTGGTAAAAGACTAAGTTTTGAATTTTAAACTCTTAAAACTTAAGCAAATAGGAGAAATTAGCATCTTTTGCATTTAGACTTCCAAGTAGCTTGTTGAATGTTTTTGCTCTATTTTAAGAAAAGATAATTTAGTTGGGTTTTTTTTCCTCTTTCCTCTGGAAATTCCTAGCAATACTGTAGTTTCCAGTTGGTGTTTGCTTGTTGTCAGTGGTGTATTTGTCTAATTAATCCATTAGTCTCAGGAGGGAGGTTTGTGATGGTGTCTGGACCGCGCTTCACCTCACGCGGGGAGCGGGCTGGGGCTCGCTGGAGCTGCAGGTTCACCTGCACGTGGGGCTCGCAGGTGCCTTGGGCTCTCGGGACGCAGGTGGCTTCAGCCTGTACAGCTCGCCTGGCCCCAGGGCTCCCAGCCCCTTCCTGCCTCCGAGCTGTTCCCTGCGGATCACCCCCTGCCCACGAGCCAGGCCAGGCTCCTCTGAGCGAAGCAGCAAGCTGCCTGAGCCGTGACATCCCACTGGAGGCCCGGAGTAGGGAAGAGGAGCAACTGAAGGTGCACCAGAGCATTCAGAATTCAGCTTTCGTTTCTGTTATTCCTCATCAGCCTTTATCTGCCATAATCCGCTTAGCCTGCTGACTCCAGCTAGCTGGTTTGGAAAGACCTGCAGGCATGGAGCAGGCAGTGTGGAAATTCCCCAGCACACAGTTCCCTCAGTTTGGCTGGTGCTTTCACAAGTTTTCCTTCACCCTTCCAGAGTTCTCTTGGCATTTTTGACTTCTTTTTTTTGAGGACTAATGCTGCTGCAGTTGCTGATGACAGTTATTCCCACCCCATTTCTTGGGATCTTGTGTGCCCCACAGGCGCTGTGCACAGGGTGAGAAGCTAACGGAGTACCAAGCTATGCAGACAATCAAAGCAAGCAGAGAGGAGTTTAATTGACCTGCCACTGCCTTGTCAGGGTATGAGTAAAGGGTGGTTGTTAATAATATTGGTGCATCCCAACAAGGCCAAAAAAACCCTCCAGCACACGGTAAATGTGTGGAGGCAAGTGGAGTGTTGTGACCTGGTGTGCAAGCATACATTGGGCTGGCACAGTTGGCTTTCTTCTCCTGGTGGGGCATTGTGGCTCTGCAAGCTGAGGACATACTCAGCTGGCTATTTTTTGAGATCTGGTTTTATTGGTCCCCTTGGACCTGATTCTCAGAGGGTTGAAAGAACAGCAGTAATGGGATTAGGCGTTTGTTGTGCTGTAGCTGCCTTAGCACCGCTGTTAGAATGCCCAGGAAACTTGGGACCACTCAGTGTATGTAAGCAGCTCTCAGGAGCTCTCTGCTGTCAAACCACGGCCAGAGAAGGTCGTTGTTGTGCACTAAGATGGTTTTGGTGTTGCTAGCCAAGTGGGTCAACAGATTGTAAGTAATTTTTGTAGAACAAATCTGATTACTCCAATTATTACAGAGTTAGTACTCATGCAAAACTAAATCTATGCAAAAACTCCTGACCACCTAAGGCCGAGAAACAAAGAGGAAAAACAGGATTAAGATGAATTAGTGCAGGTCAGTTCCCTTGTTTCACTGATGTGGAAAGCAGGTACATGTGATGTACAAAAACAAACTGCCTTTTGGCGTGGCTTCCGAAGGAAATGGGGCACTCTGCTGTGCCGGGTGTGCGTCTCCCAACTCCCATCCCTTCCACACACAACTTTCTAACCTGTGGGTAGTCCTCTGCTGCAGTAATTCTGACTTCTCCAAGATGGGTATGTGCCTACAGGATTTCCTGAGGCAGCAGCCCCCTGCCATTAGGGTTACAGGTGAGAGGGAGCTGCAGCGTGCGGTCAGTAGCAGGCTGCCCGTCCTCCTTCACTTCCTCTCTGCTCCGTCAGTACTTGTGCCGTTACAAAAGCGCAGGGTGTCTTTCCACCTCTCAGTTACTTGGTGGATATGGGGTGTTCTTAGGGACAGGAGGTTGTGTGTTTGTAGGATGGGAGGCACAAATCCTTAGGGAACCCAGGTATAGTTCTGCTGGTCTTAGAAAAAAAGCCAATTACAAATTAGCCTAGAAACACACTGATAGTGGAGGAGCTTTCGGTGAGGTGGAGAGCCAGGTTATTACCTGGTACAGTAACAAATTATTCAGAAATCAGTACCGTTTCTTTGGAAAAATTCTGTGTTTCAAATAAAGGGACTGAGCTGCTTGTGTTCTGCTGTGTGACATCTGTAAAAAATAAAATCCCTCAAAGGGCTAAATAGACACACCGTCACATCCTGTGTGTGCTCTGTTTTGTCTGCAGGTCCTAGAAACGTTTGCTGGGCGCCTGATTAAAGTGGGTGTTTTAGCAAGGCGGGATATCCCCACTCTTACCAAGTACCAGCTCATCCTGGCGAGAGACCAGTATAGGAAAAACCCGCCTTCACAGAACGCGGTAAGTGGCTTTGTCTCCTCTTCCTGAAGCAGTGAATATAGAGTAGAATCCCAGAGCGGGTTGGCTGGGATGAGACCTTAAAGCCCCCCCAGTCCCACCCCCTGCCATGGACAGGGACACCTTCCATAGCCCAGGTTGCTCCAAGCCTCATCCAGCCTGGCCTTGGACACTCCCAGGGATGGGGCATCCACAGCTTCTCTGGGAAACCTGTTCTGCTGTGATGCTCCACAGTGTTTCCTGCTGCATTTTAGGTTAGACTTCCCCCCCACCATTCTATTTCTAGCCCTGCACTAAAACACGCTGACTTGTTCTGTGCATCTTGATGCTGATGTAGGCAAGCTAAGGAAAAGATGAACAACTTCCAAACTGAAGTTGTTTTGAGACCTTAGGTATGTAATGAGCTGATCTTGACTAGATAACACAGGTGTTTTGGAGATCATTTTGATGTGGAGAGGACTGTGTTCATTGATCATGAAGCATCGTGTGACCCGTTCCCTGCAGGTTTTGGTGACAGACTGCTCGCTGGGCCTTAGCTTGGGATTCGGCTCCGTTTCCCAGGTGTCAGTCTAACTTTGTTTTGAGACCTTAGGTATGTAATGAGCTGATCTTGACTAGATAACACAGGTGTTTTGGAGATCATTTTGATGTGGAGAGGACTGTGTTCATTGATCATGAAGCATCGTGTGACCCGTTCCCTGCAGGTTTTGGTGACAGACTGCTCGCTGGGCCTTAGCTTGGGATTCGGCTCCGTTTCCCAGGTGTCAGTCTAACTTTTGTCATGAGAATTGCTGCATGATTCCTCTGCCTGTTGACTTCCGAGTTTACTGACGGGTCTGTTTTGCTTCCACAGGGATTACACCCAGGCGTAATTGAAGGAGATTTTGCGCTTTGTATCAGTTTGTATCATGGGTATGAGCTGCTGCTGCAAATGGGGTTACGGTCATTGTTTATCTACCTTTGTGGAATTATGGACGGATCAAAAGGTGAGATGTCTTCAAAACGTCTTTCCTTTTATTCCCACTCCTTCTCACTTACCTCACCTCATCTCTAGGGCAACTTTAGCACAAACCAGCTTATGTGATGGGTAGCTTGCAAATGTAACTGGTATTTTGCTCCCCTTCATCCCTGCTGGAAACATGTTAGCACGGTGTTAAAGAAGGATTATATTTGGGAGAGCAAATGTGTTTATATGGCAGCAGTTCTGAAAAAAATAAAGCCCAAACAGAACTCGGAGTAAGTGGCAGTGGTATCTGTAGAGACAGAGTCACCATTAAACAACCTGAGCAATAGCTTGGTCTGGCAAAGCCGTTCCTCCCCCCGCAGCAAACCTCACTGCGTGTGAGTTCTGAGTGTCTGTGCCAGAAGATGACAGGTTTGGGCACATCCCACTGGAATTTCTGTCCCAGCTGTGCAACACCTTCCACTTTTGCTCACTAAGCAGAATGTTGGCTTCTGTTCTGGCCTCACTTGATTGTCCTAGCTGTGTCCCTGGTTACTCTGGCTCTTTTGCAGCTCTCCACAGTCATTGTCAGAGCCGGTGGGTTGTCCTGGCTGTCGGGAAGACCTGCTTTGTTACTGTCGTCTTCGTGAGGGGTAAAATTCCCACCCAGCAGTGTCGACCGGCAGTCCTCTGAAGAGTGGTGTGGGAGGGGAGGGTCCCAGCGCTTCAGGTTACCCCATGGAGTGCCTCTCAGGTGTCTTGCTTCACTTTGCTTTACTCTTGGCTGTACAACTGTGTGGGAACTTTGAAAAGCTACTTTGCCTGCAGCTCTGCTTCATTAAAATGACATTGCTTCGGCCTGCGTCGGAACCAAAAGCTTACGGTGCTTGCTTCATATTATAGAGGATCTATAGAATGTATTTTTAGAGTATGCATGTGCTAATAATTTCTCATTATTTTGTGCTTTTGACATTTTTACAATGTATTACTTCTGCATCTGCCGATTTTAGGATTCTGGTGGTATGGTGCTGCTGTTAGACCTGGGCACCAAAGAGCATTTCATGTATTTCCTAGGTGCTCAGGTTCCTTAAATCCCTGGCTGCTATTGAAAAAGAACTGATGGAAAATAAGGTCTAATAAACAGGTTTTCTGTACTGCTTCGGGCAGGGTTGGTTTCTGGTTTGAGTGGAACAAAATTCTTTTCAACATTGACATAAAATAATTCAAGAAATATAATTCTTGCTTTTAGCTTATATTCCCTTCCTTTCAGTACTGGCAGCACTTCACAAAATCATGGAAAATGGTTTGGGTTGGAAGGGATCTTAAAGCCTCCCCAGTCCCACCCCCTGCCATGGGCAGGGACACCTTCCATAGCCCAGGTTGCTCCAAGCCTCATCCAGCCTGGCCTTGGACACTCCCAGGGATGGGACATCCACAGCTTCTCTGGGCAACCTGTCCCACTGCCCCCACCCTCATCATTTCTGGATAGGATGACTTCTAGTGCTAAATGGTTGATATAAAACTTTTCTGTGCATGTTTTCATGTTTAAATTCTATAGTGGCATCTTACCTGAAAAAATGTTGATGTCAAATGATGGTTATTACATTTTCTAAAGTTAACATGTCTCTTAGCTCTTGAAAGAAGCTTGCAACCTCTGAGACAGCCTGTCTTTTGGATAGAAAAAATTATATTCACTCTGGAGATCAAATACTAAGGTATTTCAACTTTTTACAAAGGGTTAACCCGTACGAAGAATGAACTTGGTCGCAATGAGGACTTCACGAAGCTCTATCAGCAGCTTAGCGACATGTTTTCAGACACATCTCTGCCTACAGCAAACGGAAAAGCTTACAAGAGTGAAACAGGTCAGTGTTTCCCTTTTAGGGACAAAATATTTGCTTTCTTCTTAAATGAAAGAGTAGGTGCCTCACCAGAGTTTGCAGCTGCAGAAGCCATTCACTGTGAAACCCTTGTCTACAATTCTTTATTCCAGATTGTTTTCCCCAGATTCTTTTTAAAAAGAATCTTCTCTCGGCGGTTTTAGTACCTTGAAACTAGTTTTCTGTGTCTGAATTTTTTAATTAGGTTTAAAATGGAAGGTTAAATTGTTACTGTTTGACTATATATCTTTTACAGTGTGACTGTAACACAGGTAACAACACTCTTTTGAAGACTGGGTTTACCAAACGTGCTTCTGTCTGCCACAGGTCGCTTGTGTAGGTGAATGCCATTAGAACTCGTGCCAGGAATTCCTATGTCCGACTCAGGGAGTTGCAGTGGGAGGAAACGAAGTTCACTAAACCTTCATACTTGTTGCACATTTACTTATTCCTTAATTGGTTTACATCCTTTTCAGGGTTTGAAAATAAGAAGGAATTTATCTACAGTCATCCAAAATTAAGGAAATTGGAGGAAATTGTAATAGAACACTTCAGATCCTGGAACAAAGGATGTTCTGGTAAGTACCAGCAACTCAAAGGAAAAGTATCCGAACAGTTGAACCTTGAAAACAAGTGATATGCTACTAATTTACTTCTGAATTTGTTCAAGTGCTTCTGTATTGTCTCGTGTGTTTGTGGATCTTCTGTGGGGAAACCTCCTCTTTAGAAGAACTGTACTGTGCAATCTCTTGAAAGAACACTCCCTACGTCCAGTTTTAGTTGGATATAAACTGTTCTGTCAGTGTAGTAAAACGGTGATAGTAAACTCATGATTTTCTTAGCGCCAGGAGTTGTTCTGGGAAGCATCGCTCAGTGCAGCGCTCCCGTCGCCTCCTGTGGAGCGAGACGCAATGTGCTTCCGGAGCTTGAGGGGAAAAGTTCTGCTGTCCAGCCTGTAGCTAAGAATGACCCGCTCTGAGGCACCCGCGTGACGTTCAAAACCTTCCGTCCCATCCGTCTCTCTCCTTCTGCAGCCTGACCACAAGGGAGAACAAAAACACCTCATCCATTAGCTTGAGGTTTTGGGAAATTTCGCCTTCTTGATCCAACTGTTGCTTTTGGAATGATGACATAAGCAACAATTCTTTTTGCAGCTTCTTCACTTTTTCCCCTTCTCTGTTTGGATCTTTGTGCTCGGCAGAGTTCTGATTATTTGTGGGTTTTCTTGTCTTCTTTTCTTCTCCTGTCTTAGCTGCTTGAGTCTCAGAACACGCCGGAAACGACCACTACTGTGTAGTAGCAGTCCAGGCAACTTTAACTTCCCACATTTCTGTATTTTTCAGTTTGCAGTGTGTCCCAACGCATTTAATCAAATTATTTTCTTCTGTTTTTTCCCTCCACCCCCTCCATCCATCCTTCTCTCTGTCCTCCCTGCCTCCCACCTGCCCTCCCTCCCTGCCTCTGCCTGGCTTTCTCTAACAACATCTTCCCACGCCATCGCCTTTTGTTTTCAGGTGCTGCATTCTGTGCTGGAGTTACTTCATGGTGTGTATTTAATCAGAGAATCACAGAATGGTTTGGGTGGGAAGGGACCATCTAGTTCCAACCCCCCTGCCATGGGCAGGGACACCTTCCATAGCCCAGGGTGCTCCAAGCCTCATCCAGCCTGGCCTTGGACACTCCCAGGGATGGGGCATCCACAGCTTCTCTGGGAACCTGTCCCAGTGCTCCCACCCTCTGCGGGAAGAATTTCTTCCTGATATCTCATCTAACCCTCCCCACTTTCAATTTAAACCCGTCCCCCCTTGTCCTGTCACTACAAGCCCTTGTAAAAAGTCCCCCCCAGCTTCCTTGTAGCCCCTTCAGGCACTGGAAAGCTGCAATAAGGGCTCCCCGGAGCCTTCTCTTCTCCAAGCTGAACAAGCCCAACTCTTAGCCTTTCATCATAGGGGAGGTCCATATTTAATAAGCTTCTGTCTTCTTTTGACAGCATGGATTTTGCTGTCATATGAATCCCATCAGCTATGTTTTTCCTTGCAATGTTGGTCAGACACGAATCTTAATATTACTGACAGGTAATTAGCACACAAATGGTTTGGTGTTGTGTTTTGTGTCTGTGCAGGAACCCCAGAAGTGAGTAGGCTTGAACTGTCAGTTTTTACTGCTGTAAATAGAAATTTACAGTAACTGTGCAGGAAGAAACACCTTTTAGAGCTGAATTGGCGAGGTGTGGTAGCACATCGAGTCGCATCTCGAGCTAGGTATGTTAGGTTTTCTTGCTGTCCTTGATCCCTGTAAGCTCCTTTATCCTTGTAACGAGCGTGCGACACAAGGCCTTGGGGAGTATGAAGCAGCATCCTGAACATGGTTATCTCAATGCATGTAGGTAGATTCAAAGCGAGTTCAGACAGCTGATGCTGAAATCTCTGTGTCTAACGCAGGGCCGGAAGGTGCTTCACAGTCACAGTCTGGTCACAAACTTGGAGGCGTTCCCATAACTCAGGGGAAGCTCCAGTCTGTGTCTCCTAAGTTATGCATCTCCAGCCTAAGTTCACTGGGTGGTGGCAGAAAGAGGGAGACACACATTTATTTGCCTTAATATTCCCTGTGGCATAGTGTCTCTGATGATATTTGAGCAATAACCCAGTCTATTTCTACCCTTACTCCCTGTTGCTTGCAAGTAAACTCTAAATTCACACATACAAGTAGCTGCACCCTAAATTCTGGTTTTAGACTCTGCCTGCATAGGTAACACACCCTGTCCTGATTTCTCCCTCCTCCGGACAAGAACCTGTCATGAGTGTCAGTAAAAACCTGAGTACGTGCTAAGGTTCCAAACGTGACCGCAGGGGTGTCCGCTCCCTCAGGAGGCTCTGAACTAAAAGCCTAAATCCTTCCGTGAGCAGTGGAAAACGCATCCAGCATTTGTTTGTGGAACTCGTGCAAGTGTTTGGTATCCCTAGGGAAAAACAGGAGTGCACAGACCCCTGTACCTGATCTCCTTCGTCCCAGTTACGCGTTACGGGACTACTCTGAACCGTAATGCCCTGTGTTCATGCCCGGTGAACTTTTAAATCCAGTAACTGCTTCTGCGGAGCATTTTCCCTGCATAGCCCTGCATTTGAGACAGAGAGGGAGAGGGGGAAGAACCTAAGCCATTAGGTGAAAAACAGGAGTGCACAGACCCCTGTACCTGATCTCCTTCGTCCCAGTTACGCGTTACGGGACTACTCTGAACCGTAATGCCCTGTGTTCATGCCCGGTGAACTTTTAAATCCAGTAACTGCTTCTGCGGAGCATTTTCCCTGCATAGCCCTGCATTTGAGACAGAGAGGGAGAGGGGGAAGAACCTAAGCCATTAGGTCAACACCAGCCCTGCATTTGAGACAGAGAGGGAGACGGGGAAGAACCTAAGCCATTAGTCAGGATCAACACCAGCTCTTTTCCCTCCGTTTGCCATGGAGCCTCTCTGGTGAGGACTTGTGCCAGTAGTGCTGAGAAGGCTGTGCAAGCGCTGAGCATTTCGAACTCGTCATCGACCAGGCTGAGTTTCCTGGCCACGTAGCTCCTGCCCTGCTTCGCAGGATGCACTTACCAGCAGCTCAGGTAAGACAGTATTCTGGCCAGCCCCTAAGGCCTGTTGGCTCAGCATAATGAGCTTCTCCCAGCTAATCTTCCATACCTGGATTACTTGTCAGATTGATTATGGGCTGCTAATGTCGTGAATTTTCTAAGTCTGGTTTTGGATATAAGGTCAGGGAGGTAATAGCAGCAGGATGACATCATTTACAAGGCAAGGACAGATGCTACTGAACACTTTGGCTAGTCAGTCATGAGAATATGCTAAAAATTGATAAAGACCAATGTTGTTTAGAATAAAGTTAGTGGAGGAGAATAATATGAACATGTGAAAGAGAGATATATCCAACCTGCACTTGTTTTGGAATATGTAGCTTGTCGCTATGCTCAGGATGGCAGATCGTGTAGATTATGTAGTGCCAGGACAAGGGGTGATGGGCTTAAATTGAAAGAGGGAGATGGAGATGGGACATCAGGAAGGAATTCTTCCCGCAGAGGGTGGGAGCACTGGGACAGGTTCCCAGAGAAGCTGTGGATGCCCCATCCCTGGGAGTGTCCAAGGCCAGGCTGGATGAGGCTTGGAGCCACCCTGGGCTATGGAAGGTGTCCCTGCCCATGGCAGGGGGTGGGACTGGGTGGGCTCTAAGGTCCCTTGTCTAGTTTCTAGCTAAAAATATAGAATCATATTCACCGTTTCATTTCTAGGCCTTCACTGGGGGGTGGTTTCTGACTTGACAGATGGGCTCCCAAGTCGCCCGCAATGTACTGAACCAGTGCAGTGGAGTATCACAGGATGGTTTAGACTAGTTGGAAGGGACCTTGGAGATCCTCTTGTCTGAGCTCCTTGGCTGTGAAAGGTTGCCTCAGAAGGGAAATTTGGTTTGACCAGAGGCAGCCAGCTTCATAACCTACCTGTGAATTCAAGGCTCATCTTAAAAAGAAATGGGGAAAATAGTTAGCTTCAGCTTCTCCTTTTCAACTTGAGCTGCTAAAAGCATTTCTGCATGTAGACATGCACCCCTAAAAACTGGAACTGACAGTTGGTCAGGAAGACATGTGTGTGTTACACTGAATGCTTTAACCTCAAGGCACAGCTTGATGCTGGGGTTACAGGCATAGCGTGGCCCTCGTCGGGCACCAAGTGACTGTTCTTCACATATTCAAGGAAACACGTTTTACACATTTATTCTTGAGAATTTTAGTTCCTTGCCTAACCTTTCTTTTAATGAGATACAAAGGTGTTTTGTGGGGAATTGTGTAAAAGAGGAGATCTTTATCCCTGGAAGTCTATTGGATTTCATCTGAGGGCTGTGTAGGTGATGCATACAAGCTGTGCCAGTGTCAGCAGCTCGTTATATCCTTTCAGAGATTCTCTCTTTTAACACACTAGGTTTATACTTCAGCGCACGCAGTGACGGGCATGTTGGTTCAGTATTTTGTAGAATCCCAGCATGGTTTAGGTGGGAAGGGGCCTTAAAGCCTACCCAGTGCCACCCCCTGCCATGGGCAGGGACACCTTCCACTAGACCAGGTTGCTCCAAGCCTCATCCAGCCTGGCCTTGGACACTCCCAGGGATGGGGCATCCACAGCTTCTCTGGGAACCTGTCCCAGTGCTCCCACCCTCCGCGGGGAATATTTGGGTAGGATAAACAGATGCTGACTGTTGAAGATTTGCATGTTGCTTAGATAGCTTTTGCTTGTGCACATGAAGGCAGATGCCGTTATACATTTAAAAAGAATGAAGAAGAAAATGAGTACCCAGCAGACAAAATCCGTGATGGTGTAACATGAGAAAAGTAGCTTTGGTCAGTGGCACCTTGCTGAGAAACCGTTTATCAGCACAGTTATTTTTCCGTTGTCTTCGAGAAGGGAAAAGCTCTCCGTGCTGCTGAAATGGGAGAGACAACCCGTTGTGATGACAGATCAGAAGCAACAGATTGTGGAATAAAGGGAAGTTCAGCACGTTTCTGCTGTCATGAGGGGCTGAAGCTAGAGACAACTTTCTGTAGGAAATCTCTGGTAGTCCGCCATGCTGGATCCCAAACTGGTGGGAACAGTGGATTTTAGTGTGATGTGTCACTGAGCCCCTCTAACTCTGACTTTAAAATCTGCTGCTTAAATGCCCACTTTGTAGGCTCCTTGGACGATGGCATCTTAAACTTTGTGTCACGACAGGTGCCATCAAACCTGAGCTTCTCAAAGTAGCATTGGTAATGGTACCTCAGACACAGCCATTCTCACCACAGGAGGTGTACGTTCTCCCAAGTTACAATGCTGATGTGATTCCAAAGATGGATTGTTCGAGCAGGAGCTTTTTCTGGGAGGTTGGCCTGAACAGGCTGAGTGGCTTCTAACTGTGACTTTTGCCTACTGTTTTTTGATGTATTTACTTAGATTTTTTTGAAATGAAATTTCTTTTAAGGAAGTTTCTTTGAGAAAATGAGAATGCGGCGTGCTTGGGCAGAACCTCCCCATGATGGGAGATGAGCGCTGTCAACGTGTAGCTTTGTGGGACGACCTGTCCTTCCCTTTTTATTGGTAATTATTTTAAAATCATGCACAAAAATGCTTTTCTCTCTTCTGAAAATGAAACAGATCAAGTCCCAACTGAAAGCAGAGCTGTGGACACCAGGGTGATGATCTTCTCGTCGTTTCGAGATAGCGTGCAGGAAATCGCAGACATGCTTTCCCGGCTCAGGCCACTGGTCAGAGTGATGACCTTTGTTGGCCACTCCACAGGGAAGAGCACAAAAGGCTTCACACAAAAGGAACAACTTGAGGTAAAGAGAAGATGAGACTTGTATTAAGAAGCGGCGATAAAAAGTATTAACTGTGTAAAGAGCTATGTATCGATATCACCTGTATGGCAGGGACTGAACTTTAAAGTGTCATGAGTAAATCCCTGTGTAGTTCAGTTGCTTTCAGAGTATCCAAAATTATACTTGCTGAACAGAATATGTAAGTAGAAATATTTCATAAATTTACATTCACGTTGCATTGAGAAGTGCTAACTCATGTATTTGAAAACCTGGGAAATATTCAAATATTTACTTGCTTAGGGGCTTTTTTTTCTTGTACGTAGAAAAAAATAAGATATATCCTTAAAGTTTGGTCTGGGAAGGTTTAAAAAAACCAAACACACACACAACAATATTTATTGCAAAGTTGGGAGGATCGGTTTTAGAAGAATGCCATGGTTGGAGTTGGGATGAGGTCTGCCTTTCCTCCTTTGTTAGAACTGGAGGGTCGACGTGCCCGTGTGGATAACATTAGTGCGTGGTGTGCGATCAGGGTGAAGTAGCTGGCAAATTGAGAAAGGCTGGGGTTGCAGCTTTAAAATCTAAATTAATTTTTTCAACTTCTGTCTGAACCCAGACAGACTGCAGCGTGCATGCAAGGGCCTTTCTGGCTAACCTCCTCAATCCGATTGGAATCGTTTGTTCAGGTGGTAAAACGCTTCCGTGAAGGTGGGTATAACACGCTGGTCTCCACCTGTGTTGGGGAAGAAGGCTTGGACATTGGAGAAGTGGATCTCATCATCTGCTTCGACGCCCAGAAAAGTCCGATTCGCCTCGTGCAGAGGATGGGCCGAACGGGGCGCAGGCGGCAGGGCAGGATCGTGGTCATCCTCGCCAAAGGGCGGGAGGAACGTGTGAGTATGGAGCTTTCTTCTCTAGCCTCTCCCAGGAAACGGTACGCTGTCCGGTACACATCACAGCAATACCCAGCCCCCCTGGCAACACTGAAGGAAAGTATCATCCCCCTCAATTTTCCCAAACCGCACACTTTCCCCGTGTGAAGGGCTTTGTTCTGAGTAACGTTTATTCTGTAAATGACAAACTCAGGCAATACAGGGGTTTCCCCGGGGTACAGAGCGACGTCTGGGAGAGGGAGGGATGAGGCTCTGAGCACAGGAGGGCTGGGCACGTCTCGCTCTGAATTGCTGACGACACTGTGCTTCAGATGAGTACTTAGCGGTAGCAGACTTACGTGTGAGGTCTGAAGAGATCAGCTTAAGTGGAAATCTACTTTTGTTAAATTCCTGAACCTCAGCACTCAACTCAGGGTATAATTAATCATCTCTGAGCACAGGTTGCCCCTTGGGAAACGAATGTATCAGTGGAAATCTGACCCGTGAGCCGGGGGAACCGATCTTCAGCTGTACCAGCACACGGCCCGGGGCCAGACCTAGCGACGTCAGACCTGGCGTCATCCCGCAGGCGCAGGCTCGCTAGGTCTGGCCCCAGGTCCTGGCAGGGCAACCCCTGTGGGAACCAGGCCAGTTTTAGAGAGCACCTCACTATTCTGTGCTGGTTTTGGTTACATGTGAGGTTGGTTCCGAGTTGGATCAGGTTTCACGACAGAGAAATCGGAGGTCTGTGTAAGCCAGTTGTAAACCCAGAATTGCAGAGTCTTGCTGTTCATTCATTCCAGTCGATGTTGTGCCGCTGGTTTAAATCTGTGGGTTGCAGAGATTTAGTTCTAAATGAGGGTCCAAAGAATCCTGCCTGAGGGCACAAAAGCTGCTTTGAAGGGTTGAGGGTTAAAAATGATAGACAGGAATGGTGGTTGTAAATAGGCATTTTCTCATGGTGTTTATGAAGACTGGTTACTGCTGAAAGCTCTGCTCTGTAACGGGATATTGAAATGGTCCCTTAAACTCCTTGGAGTTTCACTTAGGTAGTTGGATTCTTCAGGTTTCCTCAGAAATAGTTGAAGCAGAACCTTCCTCCAGCTAGGATAGTAACTGTATTTTTTTTGTATTTGAGATCGTGAACCTTCCAGTACCTGAAGGGGCTACAAGGAAGCTGGGGGGGGACTTTTTACAAGGGCTTGTAGTGACAGGACAAGGGGTAATGGGTTTAAATTGAAAGTGGGGAGGTTTAGATTGGACATCAGGAAGGAATTCTTCCCGCAGAGGGTGGTGAGGCACTGGGACAGGTTCCCAGAGAAGCTGTGGATGCCCCATCCCTGGAAGTGTCCAAGGCCAGGCTGGATGAGGCTTGGAGCAACCTGGGCTATGGAAGGTGTCCCTGCCCGTGGCAAGGGGTTTGGAACTGGATGGTCTTTAAGGTCCTTTCCCACCCAAACCATTCTGTGTTTCTATGAAGTAAATTGAGTTGCTGAACAGTACTGTTGTTGGTTGGGTGGGTTTGGTTGGGTTTTTTAACTGAGTCTCTCCACATCTGTTAATGCAGAGTTTCTTCCCTATCGCATAACTTGCAGCTGAGTAATTAATGGTCTCATATTAATTTGGGGGACTTTTCTTTTTAAAATCAAACCCCTTCTAGTCCGTTCTAAAGCTTTTGAAGAAATTTTGCAGGGAACAATTACAGAATGCAGGTCTGGAAGTGTGACAGGAATTTCTGTGACAGAAGCGTTCATTACCTGTCTGTGGTCCTCTCCTCCCGCGTCTCCCGCCGGGTCCGGCTGTCCCGCTCTCGCGTCGTGTGGTGGCACCCTGCTCATGCCCTGGGTTCCTTGAGCATTTGCCTTACCGCTCTCCTGCTTTCTAGCTGTGTTACATTCCGAGGTGCACTGTGTTTCCCCTTGGCTCGTTTGATGTCTGACCGCATGGGCATCAGCCTGGACCGGAGCTGTGAGCAGCAGGTTTACACCGGCACCTGGGGGAGGGACAGGGCAGCTCACGGCCTCTCTGGCTCCTCTCAGGCCAAGCTGACGCTCTATGAAACAAAGGAAAGGCGAACGTACTGTCTCACGAACAGTGAAGTAATGATTTGATTAAGCAGTGAACCTGGTGATGCATTGTTTTCTATAAAAACATGTTTTTGCCTGTTCTAGGCTTAAAAGATGTTTATTGGAATACCTGACGGGCAGTATAATAGAGCTAGCTGTTACCCTCTTCGGGTTTATTCAGAGCATCTTCTTGTGTCCGTCTGCCCTAATCCTGGCTTCCGGAGATCATCTCCCCGAAAGGAGCGTAGCGGCCGCTGTGTCATACGCAGAGCGCGTAGCCTGCCTCCCTGGGCACGCTGCCTCCCTCCTGGCCTGCCACAGAGCCAGGACCAGAAATGTTCAGAGAGGGAAACACCTTCTTCCCTCACTTTCCCCATCTTTGCCTTGGTTTCTCTGCTGTGCAATAAAAACACTGTAATTAAAAGGACTTGGAGCACGTATGACATTAAAAATAATCTTGGGCCTTTTTTTGCTTGACCTCTTTTCTTTGTTTCTGATGTATTCTAATTTACATCATCCCTGGATCTGTTGCAGATTGGAAATTCCCCCAGGCAAGGGCTGTGCTGCTTTCTCCAAGTGCTGTGCCTACTTCTGATCTGTTTGCAGAGGGGTTTATACCTTGTGTTGCTTTCAGCTTAAACAACTATCACTCTTCTGTGGTATTGCCTTGCTTTTTGTGCCTCTTGGGTGTTTTACCTAGGCACAAAACAATGATAAGTCAAATTTAAATTGAATTAGATATTATAGTATGGAAGCTCTTTAAGAAGATTAAAAAGAAACCACTTAGTAGCCATGTTTTAATGTATTAATTATCAGATTTTCAGTACAACCTTATTGCTTTATTGTTTTTGTCTATGAAACAATAGTTGTGTCACCTACTGACAACAGTCACAAAAGAGGTTATGGGGTTGGCTCTCAGGGCCTGGCAGCATGTTTTGGTTTAGTTGTGTTTGGGAAAGCAAAAGAGAAAACAAACTGACATCTTGGTGAGGCAGCACAACATCCTGAGGAGCCCCACAGACACTGGGGGGTTGTTCTGCTTTTGATCGGGTCACGTGAAAAGACCGTCCACCAACGTGTGGTTTCTCTGCTCTCTTACAGACCTACAACCAAAGCCAGTCCAACAAAAGGAGCATCCACAAAGCCATTGCAGGAAACAGAGCGCTGCATTTCTACCAGCGTAGCCCACGTATGATTCCGGCAGGCATCAATCCAAAGATGCATAAAATGTTTATCACTGCTGAAAAATACGAACCGAGCGATTCGAGAATGCTTTCCAAAGAGAGAAGACCTAGTTCCCTCCAGCACAAATCTGCTCTCTTTTCCTATGTCACGGGTAAGAGGATTAGGGTGTTTTTCTGAGCACGGTGTAAGCTGCTATCTCATGATGCGCTGTTAGAGCGAATCACAGCGCGTGCTCACGTGAGTTCTGGGTCTCTAGCAGAGGCGGAATTTCTGTCGGCTGTCGCCTTTCTGCTCTGCTACTCTGCTGGCTGCTGCTTTGGTTCCTCATCCTCTCACGTCCTCGAATCACAGCTCTGTCCTTAAATACCCCTACTTTTGTTTCGTCTTTCTCCGTAGAGCTTCTCCTGGGGTCAGTGACAAGGTCAGAAACTCCAGCTACAAGCAGCAGAGGCAAATGTTAACGCTGTCCTCTGAAGGCTTCTGATCCACCCACCTCTGTCAGGTGGCCTAACAATGTGTAGGGATAATTCTGGACCAAATCTGGTTTTGAGCTTTAACAGTTAGGCTTAATGATTTTAGTAATACAAGAAAAGTATGTCTTATACCCTTATAAATGACAGTGAAACAGAAATGCTTGAAAACTAAAGGATTTTAAAGGAAGGCGGAGAAATCCAGGGTAGGTTATTTATGAATTGCATGCACCCTTGGAAGAAAATGAATCTAAACCCAGCGATGGCTCTTTAGCTGGTGCAGTTACATGGCACTGAAATGCCCAGTTGCCTGAACAAAGTGGTAAGATAGGAAGAAAGAGCAAAGTTTTGTAAATACTTGGAAATCGTTGTGCTCTAGCTCTTTGGTTAAGGGGTTTCTGTAAAGACCAGTAACATCTTCTTGAAAGAAGAAACCCCCTAAAGCCTTGGGAAGATTCATGTTTCAGTACCTGAGTAGTTAGACCTAAGAGTTAGTGGGTGTCGAATGCTTCTGATCAGAAACATTCTGAGAATCAAGTTCTACATCTGATCCGTTGCCAGGGCAAACAAAAGGCGGAACACAGGAAGGGGAAGCAAGCTACAAAATCATGCAGACAAGCACCAGCATCCCCTTTGGCCTCTGTAGTTCGTGCTAGCTCCCATTTTACAGGGTAGACATGTGGTGGAGGAGGGTTGTTATCGGTACGTCAAGCTGTCCGTGCCGTCCTCGGCCCAAACTCTTTGTAAGTACGCGTGTACTGCGACACAGCCGCGGCACGGTGCTGGTGCTCCCGCGCAGGGTGTTTCCTCTTGCACCTTGAGCCTTCGGTCAGGCACGCTGATCCCGCTTTCGTGCACAGCCCTGACAGCAGCCAGTGAGGAAAACCAAGGCCGCAACAACCAGCCGCAACCTGCAAGAAAGTTAGCAGAGCGAAATACAAAATAATCACTTTAGAATGTTTCTAGGTCTGTCCTAGAAAAATAAATGAGAAGCAGTACGTGCATAAGGCAGATAATAGCTGAATGTATTTCTGCTGGGGGAGCAGCACTTCAAAAGCTGTAATTGCCAGGTTGCTTTTGTGTGAGATGGGGATGCAGCTGCCGAGGACGAGCGCGGTGCACTGCCCATCTTCCAAAGAAGCCTTACATCCCTGCGAGTTACTGAGCACCAGCTTTGTGCTGAGGACCCCTTTGATACTGCACAAAATGTTTCTGATTTTAGTGATATTCAGGATGAATATCAAAAATAAGAGAGAGGTCTTTATTTTTTGCATTTTCTCCTCGTTTTAACCCCTGCTTTCACATAAAGGGCAAAAGCCAGCAGTAATGAAGAAGCTGTGCGTGTTCTTACTGATGTTCTCTTGCTTCTCCTTTGTTCTTGAGGTTCAGTTGGTCTTCAGGTTTGTCCGTAGAAGAACACGTGCACAGAAATTGAAGGATCATGGGCGGAAGTATTGCAATAATTTCAAGTATTCTCCTTCCTTTCTAGTCAAAATTCAGTATTTCCCATTCTTAATTTGAGTCGATTTCTATTAATTTTAAGCTGTCCTTCCACTGCAAGCCCTCTGTCAGAAATTCCATGGGTTTGCCGGTACCAGGGCACATTATGAATCTCTTGCCCCATCGCTGACCAAGGATGGTCTTCAGTTCTATCAGCTTTCCTTCAGAAAGCACAGCCCCGAGAGCAAAACTCCCATGACTCAGTGACTCCCATGACTCAGGGAGCAAAACTCCCATGGCACTCGTTTCTTTCCCTTTTCCTTCTGCACTCCCTTTGTCTAGCTGCAGTCTCGCTTTGTTCATTCCTCTTCAGATTGTGTCAATTTTGGGTTGTCCATAGCTGTGGTGTTTGTTTGATTTTACGCTTTCAGGTTATTTCTTTGAATTGTGTCAGTTTGTGACAAACATCTGTGTGTTGTGGCAAGGCCTTTGCATGGCTGATACGTTTCCTGAGTTCATCTCCTCCTGGAATTAAACATCCATAATAATGCACGTTACCTTCTCGAGTGGTTGGCAGAAAACCATAGAAATACTGCAGAAGACTTTTTCTTTGGAAAAAACCCAGTTAACCGAGGATGTGTTTATGGTCATGTACTTCAGATCCTTAAATTCAGGTGCCTTGCCCTGACAGTATCCGTGTAGTAGGCAGGCAGCCTGCTTTGTGTGCTGCCCAGGAATAAAGCACTTCACATCTGCCTTGTGCCAGCTTCGTCTTGTCCTGCTTTTCTCAGCAGAACTGATGATTCATACATCCGGCCTTTTGCTTCTCAAGAGTCTCCTGCCTCCTTCCCTGTGTCTGTATAGTTTTTGTTTTATTGTTTTAAGGAGCGCATTGCGTTTGCCTTTCTTGGGCTACACAGAATCACAGAATGGTTTGGGCTGGAAGTGCCCCAAAACCCCCCCCAGCCCCCCCCCCTGCCATGGGCAGGGACACCTTCCATAGCCCAGGGTGCTCCAAGCCTCATCCAGCCTGCGCGTATCCCTCCAGAGTAGGGGCCTCCCCCAGCTTCTCTGGGAACCTGTCCCAGCGCCTCCCCACCTTCTGCAGGAAGAATTCCTTCCTGATGTCCCATCTCCATCTCCCTCTTTCTGTTTAAGCCCATCACCCCTTGTCCTGTCACTCCCTGCCCTTGGGAAAAGCCCCCCCAGCTTTCCTGTCGCCCCCCTTTTGCTATCTAGAAACTTGCTGTTTGTACACACAACCTCGGTTCCTCGGAGACCATCTGGTTGCTTCTCGGTTATGAAGAGAAGTCAGAAGTGAGGCAGTTGAAGTCACCTCCTGAGCAGGGGCAATAGGTTTTGGTTATAACTGAGGAGGTGGTTATAACTCTTTCTGCCCTTTCCTTTCTACGTTGTCCATGTCTGTCCAGAACTCCCTGCTAACCCAACGTGCACATATTCTGTCGGGGGGCATGGGTGCTGGGTACTAACTACTAGAGCAGACCTGGGTGTCCTGGAACACGGGGCTGTGAGCGGGGCTGTGAGCTGGGCTGTTCTGACAAGTGTTCTTAAGTTTCTTCTTCAGGTCTCCGGTTTTGCCTCCTCTACTGGGTCCTTGAACTGTATGTTGGCTATAAAAGAGTTTAACATCTGACTTGAGTCAAACATACTTTAGTAGCAGTATTGATATTGTGCATTTTTGTAGCCATGGCCTTAAAATTCAGTGCTGGTTAGGTTTTTTTCCAGCTGTGAAAGACGACTTCTGAACAGGACTTGAACGTCGTACCCTGAACTTTCAGGGTGCTGGATTTGAGTCTCTAAGAAACACTGTCACACCGTCCTGTGGAGACACAGTAACGTGAGAGGATTGAGAGAGAGGCTGATTCCTCTTACGTGGCATTAATTCAGAATAGGGTCTTGGCTGCAGATTCATCCCAAATCCTGTCTGCGGAGTGACTGTCAAATTAACTTAATTGTTTTTCTCCAGGCTGCGTACATCTGGGCTGAAAGCAATTGCTTCTTAGCACTGATTCGTTGGCTCCTTTGCTGTTCTTCCTGATGGCTGTTTTGGGGCGTTTGGTGCTTTTTTGGCTAGTGGTGGTATTCAGGCTTGCTGCCCCAAGTGACTCCCTTTCCTCTTCGTCACTGGAGTGTGCTCAGTGGGAGCTGAGCAGCACCAGGCCCTCGTGTCAGCAAGCTGCCACGTGAGCACCTATTTTGGGTTTACCTAGGGTTGTGCTTACAGGTGCCCTGTGCCTCCCCGTGGCAGTTATAGGTCTAAATAAAACTTAGAATCTGACACTTCTTCTTTCCTTCCTCCTGGAGAATTTTCATAGAACTTCTGTTTCTGTCCTCGTGTTCATCTGCACGTGGTAGGGAGCACTGGGACAGGTTCCCAGAGAAGCTGTGGATGCCCCATCCCTGGGAGTGTCCAAGGCCAGGCTGGATGAGGCTTGGACCACCCTGGTCTAGTGCAAGGTGTCCCTGCCCATGGCAGGGAGGTTGGAACTGGATGATCTTTAAGGTCCCTTCCAGCCCAAACCGTGCTGTGATTCTGTGTCCTTAATAGAGGAGATCGAGTCAAAAAATGACTAGCAAATATATTTGTCATAACAAATTAATATTGCTTTCCAGTATTTAAAGAGTAACTTAAAAAAAAAAAAGGGTGGGGTGGGCAAAGCTTTTATTTATTTGCATTGTGCTCCCCAGGGTCTCCGAGACACACGTAGAGAAATCCAAGCCATATGCTCTCCCTGTTTGCTGTACTGTCTGCAGGGCCTCTAGGTGTTTAGTACAGGTGTATCTCTCGATCCGTCTATCTGTGTCTTTGTTATATGATGCCTTCCCCCAGAACAATCCTTTCACAGATGGATTTATCTATAATTATAACACAAACAATCCTGTTTTGATACTTGTTTCTGCCCTCAGATTCTCTGTATCTGGTTTTGCTTGTGTCACAGAGGACATATTTGTTCTTTTGAACTGGTATCATACAAAGTTCCTTTTATTCTGTGTATCCTTTTCCTTACCATAGGTAACACTTTCCTGTTGTTGTTTTCCCACCCGCAGGCCAAAAGCAAATACACTGTCGTGAGAGTTGGTCTCTGTCACCTGAGGAGTTTGAAGTATGGGACAGACTTTACAGGATTAAGGAAAGTGATGGAATAAAGGAGCCGACGTTACCTCAAATTCATTTTGAAACCTTAGAAAACCTGGAAGAAACACCAGTGAGTTCAACCTA